GGGGGGGGGGTTCAAGGCCTCATGTGATGTGACATGTATCAACTTTTTAGCTGACACTAGATAAGGTCCCTCCCTTACTCTGTTACATCTTTATAAGCCTCTGCGGTGTTGTCCTGTTTCTTTAGAGTTCTGACTTAGTTCAGAAGCTCTAATGAATCAGTGAAGTTTGCTTTGACTCGAAATAGAGTGGAAAGAATGAAGTTGTAGAAAAGACCCAAGAATGTCCCATGCGCTTTGCTTGGCAGGAGTGGCTTCAGCGCTGTGTCCTGGGCCTACGGTCAGATTTCTTCTGACCTCGTAAATGTAGTTAAAGAGTTTCCTCAGCTCGATCCTTAAAGACTTTCAGAGTTTCGGCGTCTTGATTTCTTCCGAATTTGGCTTTTCACCCAGATACTCATTTAATGCCTTTTTCTTTTGTTTGTTTTTGACAGATGGCAGAGTCCTGTTTCCAGGAGGAGGACTGTATCTTTTTTTCAATCACAGGAAGAAAGTCGTAGTCTTAGCTGCCCATTTCTAAAAATTGAGGCTTACATGCAATGAAATGCACAGACCTGTCGTTTTCAGTGGGTTTTAACAGTCGCATGTGCCCGTGTAACCACCTCAGAAAGCGAGAACCCGGGAATTCCTACCACTCCAGAAAATTCTCTAGAGCTCACTCACTAAATGAGCCTTAGTTTTACCGTAATCTAAACATTTGTGTGTTTAGCAGGGAGGAAAAGCATATTGCAGAAAAACAGACTGCAAAAGCCCATTGGATTTTCTTCCTTTTGAATTAAGCAGAAGTACAAGTCAACGAATATCCGTATAGTAGAGCCTGTCAAGCGTACTGCACACAGTAGGTCTCCCAACTGTCTTCCAGGCATCTGCAAAGGGAAGGTTGAATTTTTCCCTTGTTATAAACAGAACAGATGTTATCAAGTGAGACTATATGTTAGCTTTTGTATAGAAAAGATTCTTCCCTCAGTTTTCCAACTTCCCTTTTTAAAAATTACCCTTCTTTTTTGAGGGATGGTCCAATATATATACGCTCTAGAAAGACTGTATCATAAACATCTGTTTTCCCCTTTTGTGGGATTTTTCCCCCCCCCCCCTCCTGACCATGTTGATTTTTACCACACCTCTGAGCCATTTGAGGGAAAAGCAGTTATCACCCTGAACTCCGTGGTGCAAGCTGGTAACACCTTCAGACAATGGCAGTTTATTACTAAGTATGTAGAAAATCCAGTTTGGTGGAAAGGAAGCGAGAAAGCATTTTATTTTATTTTTATTTTTATTCTATTTTATTAAGTAAAGAAGAGCGTGATGTAGTACAGTGCTGACCAGCATCAACATCCTCAGGGAGCCTCTTAGAAACGCACATTCATGGTCCTTAGAGTCAGAACTTCTGGAGATCAAACCCATGAATCTATGTTTTAGCCAGTTTTTCAGATTTTGTTCAGTTAAGTGAAAAACATCCATATACTTTAAGCCATGGCCAGAGGAACCTGGAATGAATTGTCCCTGCTTCTCCCCGGCCTATTTTATGACCCCTGGCATATTTTTAAGACTTACAAATGAGAGAGAGAAAACTGGACATCTGAGTGACCCTGGGAAGGACAGAGAGCTAAACAGCGAGCTTTTCTGTCCCTTCTTTGTGGGTCAGCATGTAGAACACAGCCCAGAGGAAGGGAGACGGCTGGGCAGCTTTCACCACCTCATACGATGCTAAGTGCGTGATGCAGACGGAGGTGGCGGACGTTTGTAAGAAAACCTACAAAGTTTCTCATAATTATGAAAATTACTGTGGCAGGTTCATTAAATCTTTTACAAAAGATCCATATAATGTTTAGCCCTGTGCTTGTTTAAACACGTAACCCTTTGATCTTGTGGGAGCAAAGCATTCAGTGAGACGTCAGTAAACGATCGAGGTGGGTTGAAAGCAGAAACAGGTGGACAAGAGGGTAACAGCTGCTTAACAGAAAGTAATTTAAAAAGAGAAAAAAAGGGAAACACTTAGATTCCAGGATTCCGTGAGTCCTATTTCCAATTAAATTCCGTTTAATTGACTGCTAGAGGTAGATTAGCAGGGTGCATTCCTTGAGCATTAAAATTTTCTTTTTAGTTTCTGCTCTCTGCTTATAAAATGGAACCCAAGTAGCTGCTGCATAATATGCTACATTAAAATGTACCTACTTCAGAACCAAGAAAGCTTACTTAAGATTAGTTTAAATTTAAAAATATTTAGGGCCCTCTCATTGAAATAGTCTGGATTTCTGTAGGGCCCTCTCATTGAAATAGTCTGGATTTCTGTTTTCCTCAATTTTCTGTTCAGACGAGAAAGCAATGAAATTCATTCAGCTCGAACGACTGTACCATGAGCAATTGCTGGCAAATCTTTCTGCCATTCAGGAGCAGTGGGGTAAGTACAGCCTGACGCAGAATGTGGAATTATCAGCAGTCTAACAAGTTGCTATCTATCGAGAAAGTTAACGTATTTGACTGGGTTTTGTAAGTCAGGAAATAAATGTTTCTGCAGTCCAGTTAATGTTGCAAAGAAAGTAGCATTTTCACAAGCCTGTGTCCTTGTGAGAAAATCTCTCTTTGTATTTTGTTCTTCATATCAATTCCAAGAAGAGAACTCTTGCAACTAGTTGCAATTCTTCTGATCCCTTTGCATGCCCTGCTGGCGAATTTAGTCTCTGAGATAATACTTACTTACATTGAAATTTAATCCCTTAGCCATTTCTAACTATGTTAACTTCTGGGTTATTTGAGAAGATAATTGTGCATGCTAATCTTTATCAGGGGTGCCATTTGACTATTTTTTCCCTCTTAAATATGATTTGTCAGTGACCAACAAATATTTTAAATTTAGAAACAAAATGGAAAACTGTGCAACCACATACAGTTCCGTCTCTAAGGAATTCAGAAAAGGGATTTAATGGTGAAGATTTTGAACGGCTTACTAAATTTTGCACAACACACCAAGAGTAAGTATTTTAGTATTTGGTTAGAATGAGCTTGGATTAGAATATTGAAGAACCATTGTAACACTGAATATTTGAAATACAAGGTCCGTTTCTTTATTTGTTTTGTTAATGTTTTCAACTAGAGAAATTACACCAGATAAAATAAAATGATTAAGTTCCTTTCTCAGCTTTTATCTGTTTCTTACACTAAGATCAATAAAAGGTAAACTGTATATAGGTTCATTAGAAAATTTTAAATATAACTTTTAATTAGAAAATTTTAACTATAACTTCTAATTTTGATCTCTGGTTAAGAGATTAGGCAATTCAGATGGAAAAAAAATTATGTATTAGGACTTTTTATTATAGTTCTTTGCCAATGTTTGTATATTATAGTAAAAAAGAAAACATTTTAAAGAGTAGTCTAATAATAGCAAATACAGTATAGCATTTAACCAAAATACTGCAGAAGGAAAATTACATTTACCAGATAATTTTAAATTGCTTGGTTTGTATCAAAGAATTGGCTCTTTATAACTAAATTATAGTAATACTAAAGCACTTACGTATGTTTTTTTAATTCATATTTCAAGACTTAGAATTCTGAAGGTAAGGGGCATGCTAATGATTATACTGGTGCACATCTGAGATGTAAAACATGATTTTAAAGAAATGGAATTTTTAAAAACAGATAAAAGAGATTGTTGTTGTTTTTTACCTCCAAAATATTCAATACAGACACTTTCCCTGTCCTTCCCATGGAACTAATAATTTTTTAATGTGTTATAAGTGTTTTTATTATTTAAAAATGAGTATTTATTGAACATAATCTAAGTGTGGCATTTTATGCTTTAAATTTATGGATTTACCCCAAATTAGTACTCTTAAATTTTAATATAAAAAGTATTTTTGAGTTACGGGAACATTCAAGTGCACAGGCCTGATGTGTGTTTACATACACAAGTGTGTCTGTGTCACTGCCATTCTAACCAAGGCACGGAACAGTCCAGCCCCTCGGAAAGCTCCCTCGTGCATCCCCCAAGTCAGTACCAACCCCCCAAAGTAGCACCGTCTTGAGTCTGTAACAGAATATTGGTCTGTTCTGTAATTCCATAGAAATGTGATCACACAGAATGCAGATTCTTGTATTTAACTTCTTTCGCCCATCACTCTGTCTGTGTTACATGTCATTGCGCATAATGGTGATTTGTTCTGTTTTATTACTCTTTGCATTGGTTATGTGACTGTGTAGCAGTTAATTTACTCATTCTGTTCTTAATAGACATTTGGATTGTTTCTGGTTTCTGCATATTTTGAATAAAATAACTTTTTATCTGTTTCCATGGATAATGTCAGTAAAATTATCTTCTACATAATCTATTTTAGATTATAGTGACAAACCAAAACTTTAAAAACGCATATGTGTGAAATACTCTTTATATACATTATTAGCAAAAAACTAGCATTCTCTTTTTTCTGGGTCTCAGCCTTTGTAGTTTATTTGGGAGTTTTCGGTAGTAATTAGCTATCTGAGGAGATTAACACATGATATAGCTGCACTTTGAACTGTGGGAACCAGTGGTAATGTTTCGCAGTGGGAATGTTCTGGGCTAAGATTAGAATCCTGAGGAGCTGTAAATTCTTTTAATTTTTTTTTTTTTTACAGCCATTTCAGTGACATTTGTTTGGACTCATATTACCGCTGTAATTTTTAATTCCATTTTCTCTCTCTTTTTCCCCCTACAGTCCTCTTTTATCCAAACATAAGGTAAGGGCCTGTTTCTTTGAAAGTATTTACAAGGAAAAATGCTGTGTCATATGTCTATAGTGTGAACTCTCTTAGAAAATAAACCTTTTTCAAATTATTTTCGCCTTTCTATTTTAATGCTGCAGTTTCCCCACAAGTGTTTTTTGTTTTGTTTTGTTTCTGTTTTTCACTTTAGATGGCAGCTGTAGACAAGTCCCTGGGAAGGACATGCTTTGCGCAGTTAATAGAGTCTGAAGACCCAAAGGAGAGTGGAGCTACCGCCAAAGAGCCGGGTATGTTTTGAAGTCAAAGGGGATTGTCAGAGGCACTGGCCCCTTCCCATATTTTACACGTGTTACAGCTGCATTGCTGTTACATCTGAAATGCTATATTTACTTTTTCTTGCACATACTTTTCCAAGACAAATAGCAAAGTGAGATTTTTTATTTATTTATATCACGTAACTATTTTTAGATATCTAGTAGTAGAAATTATAAAATCTAAATTTTTATAAAAACATAGTTCTTTCCGTGCTTTCAGCAGGTGGTTGGTTGCATGTAGCTAACACGGTGTGACGAGATTATACAAAAATGCTCTGAAATAGAATTGGTTTTGGCATATTCAGGCATTCTTTTCTGTTTAAAAACCAACAATTTTTATGTGGACTTGACCAGGAATTTGTTGTGTTTCTGACTGTTTAAAAGCTCTGTATCTTGATAACTTACCCACAGCAATTGATTCTCTCCCCTTTCATGTTGACTACCATATGGTGTAATTTAATTTGCACATATATATATATATATATATTTCTAAAGCACTTATGATATATTTTTGTTACACTTTGTGTCTTATATCAAAAGTTAAAGATTTTTAGAAACTATTTTTTTTCATTAGTTATGTATGTTCATTACAAAACGTTTAAAAAATAAAGATAAATGAATACACTTTAGGGTGTTTATTTTTCCTAATGGATGAATTTAGTACTAATTTATATTCCTGGGATTTATGTTCCTGAGTCCTGATATTAAACGAGCAGCATCAGGTTTTTGGACTGAGTTGCCTGACAGATAAAATGATGGTGCTGATGCCTTCAGTTCAATTATTTTTCTCTTTATAAAGTCCATTTTCATCCCCTAAATCTCACTTTATCTCCTCTATTTTTATGAGGCACGTTTAGGATATTGCCTTAGGTCAATCTTCCTATATTCTCTTCTTCCCATCTCTTCTGTGCCAGTCATTTTCATATTGCAAATCAGAGTAAAATGAGCTTCATAAAATCTCAAAGAGGGCGAAAGTCACAAAACGGCCACCGAATCTGGGCGTGGAAGTGTCTCTGCCATGCACCTTGGCCAGGGAGCCGTAACGGCTAATTAAATTTGACACTTAGTGCTGGTTGCTTGCCCAGCGCTAGCTCAGCACGACTTGTAGCTTGGCCTCTGCTGTGAGATGCGATACAGATGGGAACACGGAGACGCCACATTTAAGTCGTGCCTGATCCTCTGACTGACTTCCAGAACCTGAGTCTTCTGGTTTCTGGTTAAAATGCAGCGTGCTCCTGCCAAGCAAGCTGTATGGGTGGCCGGAGATTTCCACAGTGCACACGTCTCACTAGTAACCATCTTGGGGGGCGGGGACTGAATCTTGTCCAAGAAATCTTGCCAAGTCTGATAAAACAATGTCTTTTAAAGAAAAATCTCATCTCCCAGAATTAGCCTCCTCGCTTTGGCTACTCTGTGAATAAATATATAGAAATGTGAGACGATGAGACAAAGACATATGAAAATATCACTTTAAGTGGTTTGAATTTAATACATTATTCATTTCTTCATGTTCCTCATTTCTTATCAGGTAAGACATGCAGTGCAGTCCAGACCTTCCTCTCCCTTTTCTTCCTCTCTACATCCCTTGATCTTGAGCTGCTTGTATAATATGTAACTTGCTATTTTTTTGTGTGGTGGTTAAACACTGTTTCTGGAGCCAGACTTGGCTGGTTTGAATTCTGAATTCACCACTTTAAAGCTGTGTGATCTTAGGCAAGCTACCTGACTTCTCTGAGCCTCCATTTGCACAGCTCCAAAATTCATTGTACTTACCTCGTAGGATTCCTGTGAGGATTAAGTTAATAGTTTCATGTTAAGAGTGTAGAAGAGTGTGAGGACCAAGGTGAGAGCTCGACAGTCTCGCTGCTCTCATTAGCTTTCTGCCTCCCTCATGGTATCACTACCCCCTGAGACTAGCGTTCTGCCGGCGTTCTCTACGTATCATTCATTGCCACTTTTCTAATTAATCTCCCATTAGTAAAGTCTTCAAGTAATTTACATAATATTTTATATTTTCAAAATACTTTTTTGTATATTATTTCATCTGTTCCTCCTAACAGCCAGTAGAAGGTCTGCTGAGTCATTTGAAGATACTCAAAGAAGCTAAGTAACTTAAGCTGGAGCAGAACTAGCTAGAACTCAAAGCCAACCCTAGTTTTCTGACCCTGAAGTTCATGCATTTTTATTAATTTACATTTTTATTTTTAAGTAATATTTTATATGTAGATATAATACATTACATACATTGTAAGAAATGATAAACTGAAGGCCTATGAACCTAATACCCAACTAAGGTCTCAATTATTGTCAATTCTGTTATAACTACCTCTGTGCTTTGTGTCCCCTGCTTTCAGCCACCCCTGAGGTAACCATTATCCTGAGTTTTATATTTATCATTCCCTTCCCATTTTTATCAACTTTGTTGACATACACTTTCCGTGCAGTAAAATGTACCCATTTTAAGTGTATAATTTGATGAGTTTCGACAGATGTATACACTCATGTATGTAACCACCACCCCAGCAAAGATAGGAACATAAATATTCTCTCCTTTATGGCCAGTCCCTCGCACCTCCAGTCCCAGGCAACCCAGTGCTTTTCTGTCATAGAGTTTTCCCAGTTTTAGAATTTAATATAAATAGGATTGATCAATGTATGTTGTGGATAGTCACCCATATTACTGTATGTGTCATTAGTTCATTCCTTTTCATTACTGAGTAGTATTCCTTTTTTTTTTCCTTTTTTTAAACTGTACCACAATTTGTTTATCCATTCACTTGTTGATAGACATTTGGGTTCTTTCCAGTTTGGGGATATTATGAATAAAACTACTGGGAAGTCACTTCGTGGATGTATGTTTTTATTTCTCTAGATAAATAATTGAGGGTGAAATTGCTGGGTCATAGGGAAGATACATGTTTAAGTTTATAAGAAATTGCAGTTCTTTAGTGTGGTGGTATCATTTTGTACCCCACCAGCAATATATGAGAATTTCAATTGCTCTGATCCTTGCTGACATTTAATGTTGTCAGTCTTTTATATGTTAGTCATTTTAGCGGATGTGAAATGGTATGTCATTGTGGTTTTAACTTTCTTTCCCCTGATGACTGGGTATGTACATTTTAAATTTTTAATTAACCTCTGTAGAAGATATACTAATTTATACTATTACCAACATTTCAAACTGTGTTTTTTACTCTAAAATAAATATTTGCTGTGAAAATTCCCTTTTTCAAGTTTGATACCACTCAAGTGTTTGTACTTAATGAGATATTCAGAAAGTATAAGAAATAGTGTTGATTCAAAAATGCTTTAGTCCCACATCGTGAAATGTGGGGGGGACTCTTCCCGAAAGAGAACATGGGGGCATGTGCATTCCTGTAGAGCATGTGTGGGAGCATAGGTTAAGTCTAGCTTCTCATTTTAGAACTACCTCTTGAATTCATTGTTTATTAAGTATCTGCTGTGCACTCAGCTCTCATTCCATTTTTATTTCATCAGAGTAGGTTTTTTGTTTGTGTGTGTGTTTGATTTTTTTTAGTGTGTGTGAAGTTAACGCAATAGTGAATAGCAAACTTACCTCACTAGATTCTTGGGTTCAGAAGAGCCAATTAACAGAAATTCATGTCAATATTAACAGAAGCATTAACAAAAATAAGCTTGCAGAAAATATTTTTAGTCAAACGTGGATTAAGCATTTACCCCCACTTTTTCCTGGAACACCATTAATACATCAGAAAGGGATTCTTAAAAGGCAGAAACCCACAAGGACAAACTGGCAGGGAAACAGCAGCAGATGTGACTTCCAGAAAAACTGGGAGGGTGGAAAACAGATGCATGGGTGGCAACTGGCTGAGCACACAGGAGAAAGCCGAAAGCTGTGTGTCTGCAGAGAAAATGTTGGTTCCCGTCTGGAAGGCTGGGGAATTGGAAGCACAGAGTGCTCCTCTAAAGTCAAGGAGGCCAAAAGTGTATTTTTTAGAGAACATGAAAGAGAGGAATTGTGGACTCAGGGACCAGGCACAACTCAAGGAAGGGCTATTGTATAGAAAATGAGGAATTAATGAAAATCTTACGGACTGAGTGGTGAGCCCTGTAGCCTACTTTTTGCATTTAGCATTTAAAACCATGGCAGCCAAAACTCTTTTTTCCTCTCTGGGAAACTAGCCACTAGTCTAAGAGATAAAACCTCCAGAAACCACGTTAAGGGCCTCCCAACGGAAGGTCGGGCCCCTCTTTGCCCCACGTTGAGAACTGTGCCTGGAGAAGACTTGCCTCTAACCACAGAGCTGCTTGTTGCCTCCTTAAGAAAACCTCAGAGAGAAAAGATGGAGACCAACTCAGATGGACAAACCAAAAGAAACTCAAAGGAAACAAAATGCAGAGAACAGATGGAAACTTTTTTAAATGAATGAATCTTATCACAGAGATTAGAGAAAATATTGTATATGTGAAAACCAAGAGTAAGATGCTGTTTTTTTAAAAAAGGAACATTCAGAGAATTTAAGGAACATTTATAGAGATTTAAAAGCTTGATGGCCAGTATAGAAAATTAATTAGAAGAATTAAAGAATGAAATTGAGGCAGTGTCCCAAAATGCTGACCCAAAAACAAAGAGATAAAGAGTGTAACAGAAAAGGTATGATCAGTCCATGGGGCCCAAAACCCTAATACTGATGTTCTAAAGGGAGAGACCAGAAAGGGGCTGGGCACAACTTCTCAAAGAAATAATACAAGAAAATTTCCCAGAATCAAAGGTTATGAGTCCAGATTGAAAGTCCCACCAACTACCCAACACAAAGAACAAGAAGCTTTATGAAGGTTCAGGACACCAGATAGAAAGAAAGAAAATCTGAATCTTCCAGGAAGAAAATGTAGGTCAGAAGGGCTTGGTATTCAGAATGGTTCAGAAACTGGACATTTCCTCCTGGAAGCCAGACACAGGGCAGCAGGGCCTTCAAAACAGAGAGAGGAAATGATTCCTGACCTTGAAAACCTTACCCAAGTTTTAGGAGTGAAGGAAGAAAGACTTTCAGATGTGAAGAATCTCAAAAAGGCTACCTGCCATGTACCTTTTCTTAGGGAATGTTCCACCAGGAGAGAGAAACAAAGAGGAAGACCTGGGATCCCCAAAATAAGGTTTCCAACAGAGAGCCAGAGGGAAGTCCTAGGACCACCGGGAAGGGAAGTTTTCAGGACTGGGGAGCAGCTCTGGGTCAGGGGATCAAAAAAGATGTGTTTGAAAACTGGTAGATCACCTGTTGGCAAAGTTGTACAGCTGCCAGAGTTGAGACGGACATAAGTGGAGATTTTTTTATAATGGATTAATGAGCCCGTGATCAACACCAAGGAAATTAAGTGTAAATGAGAAAGAAAATTGTCTCATAGTACACAGTGTGAGTAATGTTTACAAAACCATAGTAAGGTAAACATCTGAATATTGAAGTGTGTGGGGCTGTGGTGGGAAGCTAGTGGAGGGGAAATAACAAACCCTTTCAGAGGGCTGCAGGGTTGTGTCCCACGCGTCACCTGTATGCCCTCTCTCTTCCCTCCTGTGCAAAGCGTTGTTCTGAATGTTCAAACAACTTGTTTTGCTTCATCTTCAGAGAGTGAAATCTGCCCTGGCCCGGAGCCAAGGACTGAGAGCGAGCAGAAAGAGGAGACCCAGGAGAGCAGTCCCTGCCGTCAGCAGCCGGCCAGGCGGGCGGGTCCCCCGAGTGGCCCTGTGACTGCGGGCGAGGGCCACGCAGAGGAGCCTCTCGGCAGCACTGACGCCCCCCGGGAGCTGCAGGCCCGGCCCTCGGAGGCGGAGGCGGCCGGGAGCAGGTCTGGGCCACGCTCTGCTCCGGAGAAAGCGCCCGACGGTGACAGCGCCGTGCAGCTGGCTCCCCCGGAGGCCCGCCCAGATGCGGCCGAAGACCCCCGGGGGTCACTCCCCAGCCAGGCGGTGACAGGGCCAGTGGCTCCACCGGGCTCTGACCATAAACCTGGACTGTGTTCTGAGGCTAGATGCTCACAGACTGAAAGAAAGGCGCTCCAGTTGCCACTTGGAGACGCTTCCAAGGCGTCGCCCGCAGACCGGCTTGAGCACAATGAATTAAATGAGCCGCAGCAACCTGATCTCAGGGGCGGTGATGGAAAATCACCGCGGGGACAGCCTGCCTCCGGGGGCCCTGAGAGCCCGCCCTGCGACAGCGCTCGAGTGCCTGACCTAAGCACGGGGCTTTGGGAGGCGTATATGGCCCCGGAGGAAAAGGGAGATCAGGACACCCAAGTCAGTAAGGAGACAGAGGACTATCTGAACAGCCTTCTAGAAGGATGCTTAAGAGATGCTGAAGATTGTCTCTCCTACGAGGAGGGCGAGTCCGATCTCCAGGATCTGTCTCCGGACGAAGCATCTTACAGTCTCCAGGAAAACCTGCCCTGCGACGACAGCTGTCTGTCCCTCGATGATCTTGCAAAAAGAATAGAGATCGCAGAGGTGAGTCTGAGAGTTGATGTCAGTAAAACGGAATTTAAGAAGCACAGATATGCTAGATGGTGCCCGGTTTTTATAAATGCCCCCTGGTCTCCAACAGGAGGGGGAAATTCAATTAACGTAAACTTTTCATCATTAGGAGTTTTGTTTATTTTGACCGTGGTGTTTATGCCTCAGGAAGGTCTATCCATACCTCCAGATAGAAGCATTATGAACACTGTTTTTCATGTTCCTGTGTCTTTTATTTGGCAGTCCCAGGAGAGGGGCGCAAGATAAGATTAGTCACTTTCTTATAAGGAAAGCTCATTTTTCTTCTCGTACATCTAGAAGATAAAAATGGAATATATACTCCCTGTTTCTTGTTATTATTAATATTTTTTTTTAATTCTTTGAAACAGTATAACAGAATGAAGGAAACATTTTAAAATACAATAAGACTAGGAGATACTGGATGGATTTTTAAGCCCTTAAATTGGATGCTGTGAGTGTTCTCTTTCCTACAGTATTAATTTCTTTATAAGTTGTAGATTCACACAAACAGTACTTACTACATGACTAAGACAAATCCTATAAGTAATTCAAAGTTTTAAAGTTTCTCGTAATGAGGCTAATCAAAACCAAAAACCAGGGGGGTGGGGAGAGGAGAGGGCCAAGACAGCCTTTCTCCTCTGCTTGATAATGCAATTTTTTTAAGTTTAGGAAAAAGAAACGATCCTTCTTGAAGGCTCTTCATGCGTCAGGCTGAGATCATAGCGAGGCATCAGGTGAAGTTCCTGGCCTCTGGGGGTCTCTGCCGCATTTCACTAGTTTTCACTGGCATTGTTTTTGAGAGTTTTCATGCCTCCGTGCTTTTGTGAATGTGGACAGAGAACATGACTTCTAATAGCTGAGTAGTCTCATGAATAGTATTTGTCATGCCCTCAGGAACCCCACTGTGGCTGGTAAACCTGCCGTCCTCCAGGGCATTGTGCTATCTCCCAAAATCTCATTTCTCCCGTCAGTGACTCTGCCCCTCACAGATGTCCTGACTGCTTGTCAGTCTTTCTACCCCTGTGCTGATGATAGAACACAATGGTATGTTCTTTCTTCGCCAGTTTTTTCCCTTTTCCTTGCCTCTCCGCTTTCATTTTCTTGCTACTTCTGCCTCAGATAGAACTTGGCTTTGATAACCACCACCAACCCAGTGGAAGCGTTCATTGTGTTTTTTTGAAACAGATTCATCACATAAAATGAAATAATTTATAAAACCTCATAGAGCACTAAAAACTCTCTACACTAATTTCATTCTCTAATATACAGGCATGTGTAAATGAAAATTTTCTAGGCTTGGGAAGCTTTTTGAATCTAGGAATAATTTTGCTGAGTAAAATGACGGCTCTGTCCCTGGAGCATTGCTCTCCTTAGGTACAAAAGAGCGTGACCCACGGTCATCAGAAGTGTAAAAAGTGCATCACGTGTGCAGTGTCAGCAAGTTAGAGAGATTCACTCATTAATTCTCTCATTCAGTAATTTTTATGTAGCTTCTGTGTGAGCACCACCACATTGCAGATGCAGTGATTAACATTTTAGATAAGGCCCTGGCCGTGGCTCAGTTGGTTGGAGCGTGGCCCCATACACCAAAAGGTTGTGGGTTTGATCCCTGGTCAGGGCACATATAGGAAGCAACAGGTCAATGTTTCTCTTTTTCTCTCCTCTCTCTAAAATCAATAAAAACATATCCCCAGGTAAGGGTTAAAAAAAAACCAAAAATTTAGATAAGGGCACTGCACGTCTGAAGCCTGCAATCTTAACAGTTGTCTGACTCCAGGTCTAATCTCTTTGCTGAACTTATCCCAGTTTTGGGGAAAAGATGAAATTTTATCACAATACCCATAATATAGTTTAATGTCAGAACCCAAACCCCTTTAGAGGAGCCTGGTAATACTAATAAGTCACTGACCTGCTTGGTTCTGGAGCCCGGAAGGGCTGCATTACCTCCTTTGTAAACGCCGCAGCTGTTTCCAGCATCAGCACCTGAGAGAGGAGATGTGCTGTGCGAATTCAGGGTGCCTGACGCCCCAACCCCGTGCTGCTACTCAGGGTCCATTCAGCTTATGGTAAACTGTTACACGGTGGAGGTGAAGGAGTTGTTTTATTTTCTAAATAAGTGGCACTTAAATATTGGGTAAACTTTACTAAAATTATTAACTTTGAAAGTAATCTTATTTACAGCTTTGTGAGCAGATTTTAACAACATTTTCTTCCTTTACATATGCATGTGGAATCTATTTGCAGAGATGTCATATGTTCAGAAAACTATATTCAATGCTTCAGATTCAAGTCCTTTTAATTTTTAGAAATAATTCATAATGTGAGAGCTGAGGAAGGAGCTGCTTTGCTGCCAGTTGGTTCTTTAGAAAGCTTTTAAGCTGAAAGAGGGCAAGATACGTTCCCCGCCTTCAGTCTAAATTGACAACCTTTACTTAGATATCTCAAGTCTACCTCTTTCAAATATATTCTTTGGCATGTTTATTGAGCACCTACTATGTTCTAGGACACTAGTGAACACAGATCAAGTCCCTGATTGTGAGGCCAGTGCTGTAGAGGGAGAGACACATAATAAACAAGTTCACATAAAATAAACAGTATAGTTTCAGAGATTGGTAAGGGCTGTGAAGAAATCTCAGTAGGACGAGGGGTAGTGAGAGACTGAACCAGTGGGGTAGGGAGAGGAACAGGCCCTTTTAACCAGGGCATAGGGAGGGCAGTGGGAGGACAGCAGGTGGCCAGCACCACTGGAGCCCCCTGAACAAGGAGATGGGGGTGTTTGGGTGGAAGAGGCAGGCTGGAGCTACTTCCGAAGGGCCTTGCAGGGACAGGGTGAGAAACTGGAGTGAAATTCAGAAGGTGGTGGAAAGCCATGGTTTTGAGCAGGAGAGCGACGCGACCTAGCCTCAGTGGAGACTAGGATACAGGGAGCCAGAGGCCCAGCAAAGGAGGCCCGTAGGTTATTGCAGTCATTCAGGTGAGTGACCCTGCAGGACAGGGCTCGGGCCGTAGCAGTACCTGCGGTGGAGACACATTTCTCGCAGGATGTGCTCCTGGGTTAGAGACGGAGTTTGGTGGCGAGGACCAGTTTTGAGAGAAAGAGAGTCGAGAGTTCTGCTTTTGGAATCTACTTGTTTCAAAAACTTACTGGGGCCTAAAAAATAGGGTGGTATCTTGACATTCTTCCCATTTCCTATTTTACTTGTATTAAATTGCCCGTTTAAACAAACAAAAGCAAACTACAAACACATGAGGCAGTGCCTAATTTAGAAACTTAGATACATTATAAAACTCCTGTTATTTAAAACAAACTCTTTTCTTTTTAAATCTTTTAAAAATTCAGCCCTGGCCTCCTTCCTCATCGCTGGCCTTTCCCCCCGTCACTCCCTCCACGGGGAGGTCACCGCCGTGTTCCTTTCGGAGATGGCTTTCCCCCTGTAGCTGCCTCCCCTGGCTCCGGCTGTGACTTGTATTCGTTTGCTGTGCTCGTGACCGTGATAATAATCCGCTTCCAGGTGACTCGAATGACCCACAAGGTCGTGCATCTCACCATCTCCTCCCCCAAGTCTGTGTATCGACGGATTTAGCCTTTAGTTTAAAGCATCTTTGAGTCGAGGTGATGTGTAAGATAAAGATTTGTTGCCAGAGGTATAAACTGCTTTGGAAAGACAAAGTAAAGGTATTAGGTTTGATAGATTATAACGGGTGACACTAAGCCAAGTTTTTTTATTAAATTTATTGGGGTGACATGGGTTAATAGGATTATATAAGGTTCAGGCGTGCGGTGTTATAACCCATCATCTGTATATTGCGTTGTGTACCCATCAGCCAAAGTTTAACCTCCTGGCACCGTAGATTCGGCCCTTCCTACCCTCTCTGTCGCCTGCCACCCCTTTGGCAACCGCCTTACTCTTTTCTGTGTCAGTGAGTTGTTTTTGTTTGTTGATTTGTTGCTTTCTCTGTATATCCCCACAGGTGAGTGAAATCCTATGATTCTTGTCCTTTGCTGTCACAAAGGAAACACCACCATTTGTGACAACATGGATGGGTCCTGCGTGTATATACCGTGCTGAGCAAATAAGTCAGATGGAATAAGGAAAATTCTAATAGCCATAGAGAATAAGGTCTTTCANATGCTGAGCAAATAAGTCGGACGGAATAAGGAAAATTCTAATAGCCATAGAGAATAAGGTCTTTCACATGAGTTAGACGGCACGAGGTTTAATCTTGCGTTTGCATGCAAACTCTGCCAGGAGCTGGTGCTACGGGTTTAAGCGTGTGATTCACGCCCTGTGAGCTTGGCCGCGTCATCTGTAAAATGGGGCTGCGAATGCCTGTGTAGGAGAGTCATGAAGATAAAATGTGACATGTTATGTAAATGCCTTCGCATAAAGTATACAGATGCACTAATTATAGGTCTCGCTGCAGAGCCCACATGTAAAGGAGCAGGCAGGGAACCTCACGTGTTCCTTCAGTACAGAATAATAGTGGTAAATTTGCCGCGTGCTCCTGCAGTGAGATGGCTGGCACCGAAGCTGTTTGTAATATGCTAATGTGACTTATAAATGCTAATTCTCAAGTTAGTTGGAAGCCAAAGCCAAACATGTGTTCGTGTTCAAAATGTACCAGCCTTGAGGCTCTCAACTGAGTAAAGCCTACCTCATTAAAAGAACATTATTTGGTATCTATTTTCTTTAATTTTTTGAGGAGGCAGTTCTAGCATCAAGACCTCTGAATGTTTACTTTGTTACAATAAGACGTACTGTGCCCATAGAATTGCATAATAATTTTGTTTTTACAACCAGTTCATTCTTAAAATGCTATTTAAGGTGATCATTGATGTTTGAGGGGATGTGCAGAAGGACTACTTATTAGCAAATGCAGAGGACTCAGCCAGATGGATGTTTCGTTGTTGTTGTTGAATTCTGCACTTATTCATAGAGTACCACCAGTAACAATTACATTAATTACAGCTTAAACATTCTTCTGGTTCATAATGACGGCTTGGTATATTTTGTTTGTGTAGCAAAGAAATTTGGTAATTCCAATGGAAAATCAAATTTAGTTTTTAAAGCTTTATTTCCTGAGATTTAAAAATTCTTAACCTTTTAATATCAATATTATGGTAAAGGGGCGGGGCATAGAAATGTTTTCTTAGAGTAGTTTGGAGGAGACATATTTCTGTGTGCCCTAAATCAGTTTCCCACCTACTTATAGAAACACTTAGCAGTCCTTTGGGTGAGACCCAAAAAAACTCTGTGTTTGACTGCCTTGGTGTAGTAAGTAGGAATTTCTGTCCTTGGGATAGGCTCTAAGACCTCTGCCTAAAACTCTTGCCAGAACAGAAAGACCCACACCCACCTGTCTTCTAAGAGCCTCCTCCTTGGCTTGCATCTCCTATGCCTGAGCTCAGCCGCACCATCCCTGTTCTTCATCCATAGACTAAAGGACCAGAGGCAGTTAGGAAAGAAACAGAGAAAGCTGGAGAAGATCCCAGAGCAAGACTGAAAGGACATAATGGGAAAAAAGCATCCTGTACCTCAGACAACAGGTTTTGGGGGGGGCACATACAGTTAAAGAAAATGTGGGGTCTGGTTTGATTTCTAGCCAAGAATTAAGGGTTGGTGGGAGAGTGTGTCATCCCACCCAACTGTAATTTCTCATATTCTACTTCTTCCCTCTTTCAAAAAGTTGCCAAAGTTTATTGCCACACATAGTAAATAAGGTGGAGCCACTTGGGAAGGCTTGGATCCCTTAAGGGCCTGACGTTCAGGGTCAAAACACCCCAGATTAGGCGAAGGTGGGAGCCTACACAGCTGCTGCGCTAGGACTGGCTGGTCCATCTTGGAAGCACATTCTGTGTCTTTCCAGATGATTTCCAAAGTTGTTCTCAGTCTTTCAACATCCATTTATTCATATTTGCAGTGTCTTTTGATTTATGACTTGAATTTACGGATTCAAAGTTCATATCACAAAGACATACAGTTAACAGTGATGCCACTCTGGGGCTCATCTTGGGTTATTTATTTTAAGTAGTTAAAGCACCTTGAAAATGCCTGTGGAATATGAACTCACTGTCGGTAAATGTACGACTTTATTCTATGGAGAAAATAGTCTGTGAAAACCTAATTTCTTTTACATTTACTGAAAGTATTATCTATAGTAGTAATATACTCTTTAAATTATTTTTGATTTTTCATCTCTTGCTCTTAAGGAAGTTACTAGGACTTCTTTCCCTCTCGGTTTCAAAGGGTGCTTGTAAAATCATTTTTTCTTTGTTGTTGGAAGGGGCTCTTTAACGTAGTTGTTTCCTAAAGCAAGATTTGCAAGGCTGTTCCTTTGCATATTTGTACTTACCATTTTAATGTCACCAAAGTCCCTTAGTTTTCTCAGAAGGACATCAGCTGAAATACATATTTTCTATAAAAAGAATAAATTGCTAACATTGATTTTTTTTTTCTGAGATAATGGTTTCTATAGACCCGTGTTCAGAAAAGCCCTGTAGAAGACTATACTGAGTTATTTGGCCCTAAAAGCCTTGAGTTATAAAAAGAACTGATAGAATCTGTAATATTTATGCATATTATCAGAGGTGGCTGGCTGGAACTGGAAACCATATTATTTTATGCCATAGATCAGCTAAATGACATTACAAGCAGTCCTCAGCCTGCAGTGATCTGATACCAGCAAGTCACTGACACCTACAGTGTTAGGCCCACAATGCCCACCTGTGTCATCACCGGCAGCTGTCCAAGCAGGCCACTCGCAAGTTTACTTCTGTGACTCAGCCTACTGCTTAGAGGACCCTTGATGAGGCCCCCAGCTTCCCAGCCTGGCTCCAACGAGCCTCTTCCCATTCCTCCTACACCTCGGAGTCTTTTCACTCCTAAATGGCAAAGGTGTTTGTTTTTGTCTTTGTTCCTAAGTAAGGGGTGGGGTGGAGGCAGGAGAGAGGGACCTCAAGTGAAAACCAGAAGGAAACAAAGAAAGGGGTAGAAGTGGGGGACTGAAGGGATATTAGACAGCAAACTTTTCCTATGAGGGCCGAATAGTTAATTCTTTAGACTTTTGGCCTGTTGTAACCACTCAGTTCTGCCATTGTAGCCCAAAAGCAGCTATACACAACATGTAGATGAATGGGTTTGGCTGTGTTCCAATTCAATTTTATTAAATTAAAATGGGCACAGGGCCTTTGCCTACCGACCATAGTTTGCCAACCTGTGTATACTACAAAGTAATATGTCCCTAGTGAACTGGCTCTGAGAGAGATTCTAGAAGGCCTTAAAATATTTTGAGCGGTCAAGCACTCTTTAGTAAATGCATCGTTTCTCAGAGGAACTAAGGACCACTCACTGTGATGTTGAAAGTTGGTGTCAAGTATATTTTAAGTGTCCCATTGTTTATTTCTTTAAAATTGCTGATGAATGGGAAAAGCAGTGGTAGATTATCAGCCTCTATAATAAAGCAAAACCGAGCACTAACAATTAAGCAACGAGGGGCCATAGGTGATCATTTTACAGGTTACTCAGCAAGGAGATGGAGCTTCAGAGCAAGGCAGTTAAAGGAGGCCTATCTCCAGCCCACTGCCCTCCGCCAGGCTGTCCGGCCCTGGAGTCAGCTCAGGGCTTCGGAAAGGCAGCTTTCGGCGTGTGTGTTTGGCAATCGTGTGCATGGAAGTGAATGTACTACTCTGTTCAATTTTGATGATTAATCGTGATCTTTAATAGGAATTCGATAAACCTATAATAGAAATGCAAATGCCCATTGAATTGCTTTAGCCTTGTTACCGTTCCACGTAAAACACCACTGATATTTCCCACATAACTTAACAAGTGGTTCTCGGCATCTCCGCCAGGTCGTCCCTGCTGAAGGACTGGTCTCCATATTAAAGAAGAGGAATGACTCCGTAGGAGAGCACCCCGCCCAGATGCAGCAGAGACCCCCTAAGCGACGAGTGAGATTCCAGGAAATAGACGATACCCTAGATCAAGGTGAGGAAGCAGACTGCTCAGCGCCGGCACAAGGCTGGCTCTCAGTGTTTGCTAGGGATGAAGGAACGCGCGATACAAGGGAAAGGGTTTGTCCAAGAGCCCACGAGTGGGCGCAGTTGGTTTATCTTCCATAAGGAAGCCGAGAATTGAACTAGGATCAGTTCTTAAATAATTCCTAAGCATTTTGTTTGCTCCAATAAGTGAGCAAGTGGCAAAATTCAGCTCATGGCCCTCCTATGCTATAGGCAGTCCTCATGTTCAGAACTCATTGCAGTTTTCTTTAGTGTTCTGTTTTGGGTGGGGTTGTTTTTTTTTAGTGAGTCTGCTCTTTCTGTCTTCTTTTCAGCAGCAGTTAATTCTCCAGCTTTATATGTGTGGAAAATATGTAGGGATTACAAGTTTATTCTCTTTGGTGATTTCTTGACGCTCTAGAAGGAAGTGTCTCTCAAGGGCAGCAATTTAACACTTGCTGTTGTTTGACTTTTGCTTCCTGGGCTGCTAGGTGGTTGCTGGTTTACCTAAAGCCTAGGCAAATAAGGGTGAGTGGAAATACAGCCAGAAACCTGTGTGGATGCTTCTCGTGTTTATAAAATAACAGTATAAGCATATAGATATGCTTTCTAAGCATGATATAAAGTGATAGAGGTTTCTAATTTTTTACAGTTATAAAGCTGGTAGGAGCCTTGGAAATAATCTGTTCCCACTGTTCATTTTACCTCTGCACCTTGCTTGTAACTCTCACAGTCTTCCCCAGATAGAATGCTTAATTCTTTGTTTGCTCTAATGGGCCCTGAATGGTCCAGCTCACCAGGAGGAACCCTGGATTTAGAACTGACAGTCCTGTTTCACTTAGTAGCCATCTCATCTTAAACCAAGTCACTGAGCCTGTGCTCAGCAGCCACATGTGCCTCGCGGCTTCCGTTGGATAGTGCGGCTCTAAACACTGTTTCAGCACATATAGATAAAGTAGATGTTCTTACATAAACTTTATTTAAATTTTGTGTGTAAACATATGATTATGAAGAGAACTATGGAAAGATACACAGATTATTAACATAGATAAGGTGATGGTAGGGACTCACACCCAAAGAAAAGATGCTGAAAATACTGTGGAAGTGACATATTCGTTGTACAAATGAGCTGGTTTTAAATTGAATGTTGACAAGATCCATGAGTGTGTACCTTTGTGATTAGTAATAAGTAGGTCCTTGTAGAGCCATAAGGTGCACTAGCCGTCTGTCAATGACACCTGTCCCTAGGGGACCAATATTACAGATATCTGGTTATCTAAATCAGGGAGAGACAGTGGATGCTCGGATTTCCCACTGTGTCAACCTTTCTCTGTTAACCTTGCTCTGTTCTCATGTTTGCAGATGAAGTTGGAAGCGGTTCCTGTGTTTTACTGATCTTGCTGTGTGTAGCAACGGTTTTCCTTAGCGTTGGAGGAACTGCCCTATACTGCACTTTCGGTGACATGGAGTCACCTGTTTGCACGGACTTCGCAGACAACGTGGACTTCTATTACACGAAGTTACTGCAGGGAATGGCAGAGCTGAGGCACTGGATCTACCTCTCCTAGCAGCATGCAGGTGCACAGGCGTGCTGGCAGGGAGAAGCAAAGAGGGAAACTTTCTAAACAGCTTTTATTTTACGAGTTGTGCGTAACGGGCCTCCCCTGCCCCCAGCGAGGAGCCATGGACATCAGAAGCAGCAGCTTTAAGTGGCGGTCCAGAGGGGCTCAGAACCATCAACACGACGCAGCAGAGGTAGATCTGAGCACTACGGACGGAAGGAATGACCTTGGGACAGCGTGTCCATCTCCTCCTCGCTGCCTCCTAGTGTAATGAGCTGCACTGAGCTGAATTAAACAGAAAGTGTTGGAGCCACACCGTTTTTAGCTTTCCTGTCAACCTAACACTTAAAGGACACTTTTGGTTTCCATTTGTTGGTCCAAAGACATTGCTTCCAGCCATCACGCAATAAGTTTGTCTGTGATCAAAAGGAGTTACCTGTGGTTTCAGTGTCTTTTTTCAGTTAACCTTGAAAGCTGTGTGAATCAGGCCTTATGCGTTGTTTCCAGGTTCTGTTCTCGTGATACGGTTGTGCGTGCATGTGTGTGGGCGTGGGCGTGCATGTGTGTTTCAGACAGTTAATCATAAGCAAATACCCAACACAAAATAACAAAAATTACCTTTATTCTTTTAACTTGACTGTAGATGTGCAGGCACAAATCTTTAAAGAAGGTTTAACTATGGAACAGATGAACTGTAGAAATCTTGGCCCTAAAATGAGAAACTGTGGCAGATCTGCGACAATTAACTTGATTAACTAGCCAGAAATTAATTACAGACCTAGAGGTAAAATTAAGGAGCTCCCAGGCAACCAGTTTCATCATGGATTCGATGCTTCCTTAAGTATGATGAATGCTAACTCAATTCAGCAAACACTTATTGAGCGTCTATTGTGTTCTGAGAATCTAAGAACTAAAATACAAAGATAAATAAGGCATTAGTTCCTGCTCTAGATGTTTTAATTCTGGCCTTATGTTTAAAAAAAAATACTTTGGCAAATGAAATTAAATCACCGTGTATAACTCAGTATTAACAGATCATGCATTCAGATGTTCAAATGTTCATTCATATCACGGGCTTGATTTTATGGGATCATTAAGCAAAAATTCAATCATGTCTTAAATAAGCAAATGTCTGGTTTTTGTTTGAATCCATCAGGTGGCACTTCCTTTTCCAAGGCCTAACATTTAGAAAGCCTTTCTTTCGCTTTTTATATGATAGGCAGCATTTTAAAGGAAACAGAACACATGAATTATAGTTTTTTAGCAAGTGATCGTTATTTCATGTTTTTCTGTCAGAATCATTTGAAAGAAAAAGGGAGAAATTACTTTCTAGTTGTTGCTGGCTGGTACAGTGCCTCCCTTTGTGTTTCTGCTTATTTATTTAGATTATATGAATTTTAAAGGGCTTTTTATATATGTTGAAATTGTGTTTTTGAGCATGCATTCAGTTTTCCCAGTGTAGATATTTAATTACTGTGTACTTAGCATTTTGATTTTCTATAAATTCAGTTCCTTGTGTTTTTAGGCTTGTTTATTTTTAATTTGATGTTTTATTTTCACTTATAATACTGTTTGACTTGTCTCATGTCACCATAAACTGTAATATTTTCAAGGATTATAGATCAGAGATATTTATTTAGAGGTATACAAGATACTGAAATTTAGATTCCTTATACTTAAGGCTGATTTTATTAGAAGGTTATTTTAATGTTCTATTATAAATTTTAAGAATTTGTATTCAAATTGTATGTAAAATATGTAAATGTCGAAGGTACTATCTTATGTGGTTCTATAAAAGACATTCACCAAGTCTGCTGTGAGGGGCCACCCCCATCATAGACAAACCTCTTCTGTTTTACCCTCTTGATTTCTAGTTATGGGAATTTGGTGAGTCTGAGTTCTGCCTGTTTTATGTCAAGATAAATCAAAACTTCCCTCCTGTTCTCCCCTTTTAGGCCACTATCAAAGTCCTAAGTAAACTGTAGTGTCATATTTGCCTAGAGGCCACCAGGACCACTGCTTCGGAAACTGAAGGTTTCCTGGGAACCTTGACACTGAGCTGAGAGGATTGAGATGAGACCTTGGTCCTCGGGGGTCCAGTTGAGTCTCAGAAGAACCATGTTGTGTCCTCACCACTTCCCTGGGAGGGTGATGTGAGTTCAGGAGCATGTTGATGTCTTGACTTAAAATAGGCATGAAAATCTCAACTAGAAAAATTAAGGCACCGTTTAAAAATGTAAGTCATTTATTGCATGAATTGGAGTAATTCCATCTGGTGACGAAGGAATTGCTCTCACACACATAAAAAATTCACCCAGCTTTACTATAATGTAATTTCTTTCTGCCATGTGAAAGTTCTGACAACTGTTTGTAACTAATCTTCCTTAAGAACTGTATCGAGGGTAACAGGTCAAGCTTGTAATTTAAAATCTACACCAACAAAGTGTCTCGGAGAGTTTATTTGAATCCTGGGGTGCTGAGAAAACTGCTTTAAAGTAAAATTCTCTCAGAAGCTGGTCTGGCCCACAAATAGATCGCAATCCCTAAGTAAAGGCTCCTCTGCTTCTAAATCACCTCCCCTATCTGCCTGACATAGTAACTGGAATTTGCTCTAAAAATCCATTCCTTTAGTTTTAAAAATCAGAATCCTCAGGGAGGTTGGCTTTATTAAGCTGTGAATTTGTGTATTATGCTGAGAGGACTTGAAATTTGAAGGCAGGCCTTATTTTGAAAGGACAGATGTGAATTGGGTCCTGCTGCAGTGGTGGGAGGATTCAGGGTGGGAAGGTGGTAGGAAATGAGAAGAGAGAAGGTGAGACAGAAAAATCCCTTTAGCTATTAACCTGTTTTGCTAGCGCTGGCTTGGTGGCATTTACTCCCAATCCAGAAAAAAAACTGGATTTTTGTTGGCCCACTTACATGACATATATAATTCAGTTCATTTCTATTGGCTCAACTAATATTAACCCACCCTGTATACTCCTTCCTGCAGTGTGATAGTGTTTTTATATTGATTCACTCGATGCTTAGATCAGTGAACACAATTCCCTCAAGGCCAGGTCTTGTAACTCCCAAATCCAGTATATGCTCCATTCTGTCACGTTGCCTCTGTCCTCAAAAAGTAAGAGTGACCTAGGGCTCGTGGCGCAAATTCTCACGCTGGCTGCTATTTTCACAGCTTCAAAGATAACGATTATTGGGCCTCATGTCCTAACCCTGTAAAAGCTACAGTGAGTTGAAAGTTTCCTTAAGGAATTGTAGTGTAACTGAAATATTCCTGAGTTAAAGCTACCGAGAGAAAAGGTGTGATGACCTTACCACGGGCATCTCTTCTCCCTGGTTCTAAGAAGACTTATTCCTTGACTTACGGTGGGTTTACATCGCAGGAAACATCGTATGTTGAAAATGCATTTGATAGTACACTAGAGCAGCGATTTTCAGCCTTTTTCACCTCATGACACACATAAACTAGTTACCAAAATTCTGCAGCACACCAAAAAATATAGTTTTGCCGATCTCACACACAAAAATAGGTATAATTTTGATTGATTTACCAAAAAAATAATAATAGTAATTACCTACCCTTTTTGCTTCAAGGTGTGACTCTTTAAAAATCTGGTGCGTATACTTTTGTATATAAGGATTTCTGGTACCAAGAATTAACCAATCGTGACCAATAAGATGCAGCTCTATTATATGACCTATAGATTTATGGTTCGAGACAGGGCATTCACACTGGGCGGCTATTGTGTTGGCCACTGTCATTTTTTTATTTGACAATCTAAGGGAAAAGAGGTCAGTGCCCTGACTAAAACAGTCATGTTTGTTGCACACTGGTTGCAAATCGCTGCACCAGAGTGTGCCAGTTGTTTACCCCGGGATCTTGTGGCCGGCTGGGAGCTGTGGCTGGGAGCTGTGGCTGGGAGCCGTGGCTGGGAGCCGTGGCCCAGAATCATGGGGGAGTAACACTAGCCCAAGAAAACATCAACTTCAAAATCTGAAGTCCAGTTTCTCCTGAACGTGTGTCACTTTCACAGCATCATAAAGTAAAAATAAATCATAAGTCGAGCCATGATAAATCGGGGACCGTCTGTATATAATACCAAAGAATTGCAAGAGAGCTACCAAAGCTAATGCATTAATTCTGCAAAGTTGTAGGGTACAAGATTGACACACAAAAATCAGTCGTGTTTCTAAACAGCGACTAATGTCTTGGAAAGGAAATTAAGAAGGCAATTTCATTTGCAGTAGAATATGAAAGAATAAAATACCCAGGAACAAATTTAACCAAGGAGAAGACTTGTACACTGAAATCAATAAAACATCGCTGAAAGAAATTAAAGAATCTAAATAAATGGAAAGCTGTCCTGTGTTTATGGAAGATGATAAATCTTCATGACTAAGGATTTGGCAATGGATTCTTAGGACACCACCAAAAACACAAGCAACAAAAGAAAAATTTGATAAATTGGACTTTATCAAAACTTTTAAATTTGTGCATCAAAGGAAATTATCAAGAAAATGAAAAGACTAATAGAATGGGAGAAAATTTTTGCAAATTAAACATCTGATGAGGGTTTGATATCCACACTATATAAGAACTTCCAGAATTCAATAAAAAGAAAAACAGCCCAAAGTAAAAATGTGCAAAGGACTTGAGTACACATTTCTCCGAAGAAGATACATGCAAAGTTTTGAAAATATAGTATGGGGGTGATGGTTACACAACATTGTGAATGTACTTAACGCCACTGAATTGTACACTTACAAATGGTTAGAATAGCAACTTTTCTGTTACACATTTTACCACATACTCGTGCACACATACAAAAAACTGCCACTACCAAGTGTTGGTGAGGCTGTGGAACAACCAAATTCTCATACGCAACTAGTGAGATGATGAAATGATACAACCACTTTGGAAAACAGCTTGGTAGTTTCTTATAAATTTAAGCACCTCATCTACTATTGATCCATAATAGCCAAAAAATGGGAACACCCCACTCCCTTCATTACCACAGTAGAAGCCTATTCAATAAAAAAGGACAAATTATGGATATACGAGTGACATGAATGCATCTCAAGATGATCACTCTGAGTGAAAGAAACCAGAAACAAAGGAGTACATACTGTATGTTTCCATTTATATAAAATGTAAGGAGAATGTAAACTCGTTCACAGCGACAGAAACAGATCAGTGGTTCCCTGAGGGGCAAAGGATGGTGGGAGGACTGCTGGTCGTGGGTAGCTCTGGGGACTGATGGAAATGTATCTTGAGTGCAGTCATAATTTCATGGGTATATACATCTTTCCAGATGCATTGAGTTGTACACTTTATATAGATGCAGTTGTGTACGTAAATTATACCTCAATAAAACTGTTATTTTTAAAAAGTAAGTTGAGCTTGTAGCTTCATGGCATGTCAAGGTATTGTGAGGGGCAAGGGAGCGCTAGTGTGTATCACTGTTGTTGCTTAATTGGGCTAAAAAATACATATTTGGTGACCTCCAAGTACCACTTCTCATTTGCACAAGACCTAACTAGTCAACTAGCTACCTAACAGTGTTGCAGTAAGGTACATTCGTTCAAAATGCCTTGATTTCAGTCTTTACCTTCTGAAATGTGGAGATGGTGATTTAAAACTGTGCCTTTTTTTTTTCCCCACTCAATGCATCGGTCCAAATTCCAAACCCAATCTAATTATAGCCATTCTGTAAGGACAACCTGATCTCCCTCTGGCCGGAATGCATTGATCAAAAGTGAGGTTTTGAGATTTTATTGCTTTTCTTAATTGCCTTGGATCAAGGGTCAGGAAGGAGATACGCACTTAGGGAGCAGAGAAGGCTCACATCATTCACTGGAATGACGACAGCCCATAAATGGCTCGTTCTTATTTTCCAAGTACAAGGTTGGGGGTTGAAAAGGTCTCGACAAACCAAAGAAGAAGAAACCCTTGCCTAAGCTTCTGGTCTGGCTGGGAATTTGGTCCAAAAGTGACAAAATATAGCCAATTTGCTTTTTTTTTTTCTTTCCCAATTTCATTTTTCTTGATTGGAAAAATGAAATCATTGGGATAGGAATAGTTAGTTTGCTGGACCCTGAAGAGGAGAAGCCGTCCCTGGAGTGGGAATCCCGGTGATGAAAGATCACATTAACCAGTCTTCTCTTGAGACTTCAGTTTCCCCAACTATGTAATTTCTAAGATAACTTTAAACGTTTGTGGTACTCAAGACTCTTAAGTCTTGCCCTGGCCAGCGTGGCTCTGTTGGAGCATCATCTGTGCACTGAAGGGTCACAGGTTCGATTCCCAGTCAGGGCACATACCCAGGTTGGGGGTTCAATCCCAGTCGGGGCTCCTAGGGGGGAATACAGGAGGTAACTGATCAATGTTTCTCTCACACATCGATGTTTCCTTCTCTCTCTCTCCCTCTCTCTCTAAAATCAATTAAAACATATCCTCAGGTGAGGATTTTTTTAAAAAAAATTAAAACTCTGAGTCTCTAGAATTTAAAAATGTTTTTAACCTTTCACAAAAGTGAGAATGTAATCAGAGCTTACAATGTAATGCAAAATAATTCAGTTCTTCCCCTGTGTGCCGTGTCCCCTATAGTGTCCATCACACTCAAGATCCAAATTTACAAAACTCTGTTTTGCTCCTGGGTTTTCAGAGAGCAGCAGCCAATGACACAAATAAGTGATATGGCCTGTAATACCCATTTTTGTTTAGCTCGTAGGTCATCTTGTTTTTATTCAGGCCGTGTTCCAGATATAAGATTGCTAGCTGGACCTCGCCAAAACTAAATTATTCATCTTCCCTTGTGATAGAAGATGGCTTTTTAGTTTGGTGCGTGTTCCCAAGCTTAGCTTTCGATTGCCACTGCTTTCCCCCAGCAACTGTTAGTCCCTCTGCCTTTTTGTTTTCAATCCGGGAGACCAGTTGCTCCTGATGAGAGCTTTCGTCTTCTCTGTCTGACCTCTTCAGGACAGCAAATCCCATTTTCTGTTAAAAATAAATAGAAGTGCATTAGTGTTAGCCGTGGCCCACATCCATCTGGTCTCTTCCTTTCTGTGCAGAGTGATAAATTGGCAAAAGGGCAAGAAGAGGAGGGTCGAAGAGCAGGCAATGCTGGTCCCTGCAGAGCCACAGCCGGTGTGCACAGATGCCAACCTCCTTGTGCAGACGGGGCTCTGTGTGTCCTGGGAGGTCCCCTCCCCTGAGCTCCCTGGCCACTGCACATTCTAATGTGGGACACAGAAAATGCCCTGTTAGCCTGCACGACCGCAAAGCACCTTGGATTTGTCAGAGGAAAAAGCAAGTAAGAATAGAGGGGAAGGCAATGAAAGATAAAAGAACTTTAGAAATCACGCATTTGATGAGTGTGTGCAAATACTCCCCCTCCCCCATCTAGCTGGCTGCTCCTCAGCCTAGCAAGGCATAAATGC